CAACCTCTTCTAACCTGAGATCAGAAGGACTAGATGGTGCCCAGCTACCCTTCTGACCAGGGATACAATAGAAAGTCCTGATCTAATGGGAGAAAACTATAGAACAAAATTCAAATTCCTGAAAATAAAGGCCAGACCTACTGGACCTATGGGGATTAGAGGAGCCCCTGAGACTATCACCCCTAGAAACTCTTTGAACTTAGAACTGAAGCTGTTCCTGAAGGTCACCTTTCAGCTAAGTAATAGGTTGGCTCATAAAATAAACAGTATCACCCATAAGTAATGTTCTCCCTTAATCAACTATATGAGATCAAATGGTCAACATTCAACCAACAAAGATGAGAAGGCAAGGAAGGGAGAAGATCTAGATCAATGGAAACAAAACAAACAAAATGGAAATAATGAGAATGTTGATACATTGTGGGAATTTTAACCAACAGTATGGAACAATTTGTATAAAAATGGTTAAATGCAAACCTAATCTGCTGCACAAGCTTTCACCTAAAAACAATAAAATTTTCATTAAAAAAAATCACTCTGTCACTTTTCTAGGTCCTGACATTTGGGAAGTCACTTTAATTTAAGAAGTCACATTAATTTGTTCTACTAGTAGAAATTTACCAGAAACTTGCCATTTAGTCCTTTATCATTTCCCTTAAAGTTTCAAGTGGTTTGTAAAGAGACATGATTCATGAAGTGGATTAGTATGACTATGGGATTTGGTGATTTCTAGATTCCTGTTTATGTATTATCACAGCACTCTAGGCTACACTTAAAGTAGATAAATCACAGTGAGTCATTGAATTCACTAATGATAAAATCTTGTTCTTGCAAAGAAATCCTGGTCAGGTTTTTCTTTTCTTTTTTTTAACTTACATAGTGTGAAATATATAAGTGAGATTCATGAGTGTAATGAAATCATTGCTTTGATTATTTCAGTATAAAATTCAAACATTAACATGAGTAAGTGAAATACTTTCCAGGTTGATGATTGGTCAAAGAACTCACACCTTACTTGCAATTATGGAATGATTTCCTCTTTTAAAATCCCTTTAGGTAGCAGTTGATTTAGAAAGTAACACTGGCATCAGGTTACTTAAAAAATAATATAGGTCCTACAATAAATACTAGGAAATGAAGAACTGACAAAGGCTTCGTAGGACTGTTTCTCAGATTAGTTTGACCACAATCCACTGTCAAATAAATATATTTTCCATTATGACTAAAGCTTATGTATATACATATACAAAACTGAAACAAAAATTTCAGAGGTAGTATGATTATTACTACATTTGAGGCATCCTGATCATTTATATTCTATTCCATTTAAATTTTTAATGTAGCTCATGATGACTAAACTTTTTTTTAAACCCTTAATGGCTCTTGACTCACAGCTTCAAACACACTGCTTTAGAGGACCCAACCATGTTTACCTTTGTGCTGAGAGAGATGTTTGAACTAACCATGTATAAATCACTATGATAGGCTCTGTGGAAAGTTTAAAGATTTATGCCTTCAATTACCTCAAGCAAGGAGTTTCCTGCAGTGCCAGGGAAACCAGGAAGAGCAAAATTACATAGTTTCTGCCCTCAGATAGCTTGTGATCTAGTGTGTGAAATAAACTCAGATCTCATGGAGAGTTGGAAGATAGATCATTCATTTAAATAACTTATAATAAGTAAATGAACAGCTTTTTTTTTTGGAGCTTGTTGAGTAAAAGTTAAGTTGTTTTCTTATCTAGGAGCATAAGTTCTGTTTTTATAGATGAAAAAATGGAGAATCAGAGAGTTTAAGTCATTTACGTGAAGTTGTATCATTATTGTGATGTTATAATTCAGAAACGCAATAGACAAATGAAACACAATGTCGTGTTTCCGAGGCAATATCACTACAGAAGTAGATTACTCAACCTTCCTTCTGAGGAGTGGCTGGTGGGTTTGAACCGCCAGCCTTCTGGTTAGCAATCAAATGCCTGAGGCACTACGCTACAAGAGCTCCCATAATTCATAAAAGGAAATGCTAATTAAATCAAGTTATAAAACTGTTTCAGTCCTCAGACTTCTGGAAAAGATCTTAACCGAACCCCTCACCCACTTCTCTCTTTTTTAGGAAGAACTAATTTAATTACTCATGAAAAAAATGATACAGAATAGGTCTTTTAAAGAGATGGATGGTAGCTTCCAGTGTTCAGCAGTCTTTTGAGTACACTCTTAAAACCCCATATTTGGAATTTTACTCATCTAAATCCTTATTTTAAAAATTGGGAAACAAAGATGAACATTGTCTCAAAAGTCATCAGGGCAAGAAATCAAAGATTGCCATCCTTCAGGGAAAATTTGCCATTCATTGTTCTCACACTAAGCATTGCACAAGTCTTGACCTAAGAGAACAAGCTACCTATAAACTAAATATCTACCACTTTTAACTTCTGAGAGCTGTTGTTTTAAAATGACAAATGTGGAAGATTATCATAACTTAAAAATACTATTTATTAGACATCTGTGCACATCAGGTCCCTGAGTGTCTCAAATAGTTTGTGCTTGACTATTAATCTAAAGTTTGGCAGTTCAAACTTTATGCCAGCCTCCACTTCTGTAAAATATAGCCAAGAAAACCCTATGGAGCAGTTTTACTGTAACACGTAGGGTCACTTTCATTCAGAATTGACTCAACAGAAATGGGTTTTTGTTTCTAAATACACACATACACACACACACACATACATATATCCCCTCATATGCTAGATATTCATTGTCTAAGATTAGCTCTTCCTATATAAAGTTATGGGTATAATGCTCGCTACTTGGGAAAATTCAGATCACTTCCATACAGAGGTTCCCAGTGAGAAAACAGGTAAGGGAGACGTTTTAAAAGCAGAGCCTCAGACAAGGGTGCTAATTAACTATAATGAAAGAATAGTCTCTCTTGCAGACAGTTCTGAATGTATACCTCACACCATATATGAAAATTAACTCAAAATAGATCAAAGACCTAAATGAAAGAGCTACAACTCCTAGAAGAAAACATGGAGTATTTCTTTTTAGACCTCATTTTTAACATGGATCCTTAGCCAGGACAACACTGAACCACTAACCACAAAATACAAAATAAATAATTTGGACTTTATTAAAATTAAAAATTTTTGTTCAATGGAGGACTTTAACAACAGAGTGAAGAGACTTCCTATAGACTTGGAGAAAATTTGAGGAAACAATTGACTGGATAAGGGTTTAACATCCAGGATATATAAGAACTCCTACAACTTAACAAAAAGACAAATAACCCCTCAAGAAATGGCAAATGGATTTGAGTAGACATTCTATCAAAGATATACAAATGCCCAACAGGCACATGAAAAATTGCTTGACATTATTGGTCATTAGGAAATGCAAACCTAAAACACAGTGAGATACCACTTCACTCCCACTGTGATGACTAAGTTAAAAAAAAAAAAAAAAGGAATACAATAAATGTTGGAGAGAATGTGGAAGAATTAGAACGCTTACCTATTGCTTGTAGGAATGCAAAATGGTGTAGCTGCTATGGAAAACAATGTGGTAATTCCTCAAAAAGCTAAAACATAGAATTACTATATAAGCCAGCAATTCCACTCTGAGATATATACCTCAGAAATATGAAAGCTGGGATGCAATCACATTCATGTAGACCATTGTTTATTACACTATTTAAAATAGCCAATGAGTACAAACAACCTAAATGTCCACCAACAGGTAAATGGATTAAAAAATGTGCTATGTATGTACAATGGAATGTTATACTACAAAGAGCAATGGAGGGCTCATTTATGCTACAATATGGATGAACCTTGAAAACATTATGCTGAGTAAAATAAGGCAATCACAAAAGGACAAATATTGTATGATCTAACTTATATGAAATATCTAGAATAGGCATATGTATACAAACAAAAGTGTATTAGTGGTTACCAGAGTTAGGAGAGAGGAGGAAAAGGGGGAGTTATTGCTTGAGAAACATTGACTTTATATTTATGGCAATGAAAAATTTGGGTACAATTATTGGTGATGGTTGCACAGCATGATTAAATGTAATTGATACCACTAAACTGTACATGTGGAAAACACTGAAAGGGCAAAGGTTGCATTATATTTACTTTTACAACAATTTAAAAAATGAAAATTAAAAAAAATAGATCCTCAGTGGAGTCATATTCACACAAGACCAGATCTCTATGTTATTGTCTGTGGTAAGAGATGCTTCACCTGACTTACTATGTCAAATTCTGTTATATGCTTTGTAGAGTTCCATGCCCTCTCTTACCATTCAGTAGGAGTTTTAATTTTCCATTTATTTCTGCAATGGTTTAATTCATAAGGACTATGGAACTATATGTTCCATAAAGGCAGAGATTCTATTTTTACTGTATCTTCAGCACCAAGCAATATGATTAGTACCTAATGTTGTTGTAGTGTTATTGTTATGTGCCGTCAAGTTGGACCCGACTCATAGCAACTCCTCCTTGGGTTTCTCAGGCAGTATCACTATGGAAGTAGGTTGCACCATCTTCCTTCCTTCCAAGGAGTGGCTGGTGGGTTTGAACTGCCAGCCTTCTGGTTAGCAGTCAAGTGCCTTAGCCACTTTGCTACCAGAGCCCTCTAGTACCTAATAGTGTTCAATAAATTTTTATTGCATTAATGAATTGGCATTTTAAGGTAGTCTCAAACTCGATGTTGTGGAGTCAATTTTGACTCATAGCAACCCCTCCTTGGGTTTCTGAGGCAATATCACTGCGGAAGTAGATTGCTCATTCTTCCTTCCGAGGAGTGGCTGGTGGGTTTCAACCGCCCGCCCTCTGGTTAGCAGTCATATGCTCAGGCACTTCACCCCTAGAGCTCCCCAAGGTAATCTAGAATGTAGAATGCTGTTTTAAACAAAGTACTTCAGTTTAGCCCAATCTTTATTGTTTATTTGTTACTAAGCCAAAATTGACAATCACTTACAATGTTCTTTTTGTTTTACAGTCAACTTTGACCACTTTGAAATTTTGCGAGCCATTGGGAAAGGCAGTTTTGGGAAGGTGAGAACCAAAATGTTTAGCAACTAGCTGTGTTGTATAGGTCAGGGAAGAGAGGGTCCAAAAATGTTCAGTCTATCGAGTTACTAGAACCACAAAGATATAATTCAGAGAAGATTTTTTTTTTTATATATAATCGATTATTATAAAATTTTCACCACAATTTGGGTGAAGTTTGTGACAGGCCTTTGATACTGTGCTCAAAATTCTCTCACTAAAGTCAAATCTATTCATTCTCAGTAGAGTTTAAGACTTGTCCCTCTACTCTAAAGGAGAATAATGTTTCAGAGTAAATTTTCAAATTGTATCAGATTTATCTCTAGTAACAGTTACCTTGTCAGTGCTTAAGAGCTATTCTTTTTATGTGGGAGAGAAGCCACTTGATTTCTCTATTTCCTGTCCCTAGTTATACCATTTCATCTTTAGAAACCTACCATGAAAAAAAAATGCATATCCAGTCTGATTTTTTGTAAGAACCTTCTACGTTTAGACTTTCATTATTAATTTCTCAATGGGGAAATGGTCTAAGGGGGAATAATAATTCATATTCCATGTTGAACTTGTATTTTAAAATAATCTGTTGTCTACTTTATTAGATATCAAATGGGCCTACATAATTTCAAAAACATATACATATTTAATGTTTCTAGTGCTGAAAGTCCTTTTTTGTTTTATCACCTATGGTTAAAACAGAAATTCTTTGCACAATTTTTGGTCAGCTTGATAGTTTAGTCATGCCCATTTCAGGCACTGAAACCACGACTATCAATATCATTTTTGGTTGGAAGATTCCTTAAGTAGAGATATTTTCTCCAAAATGCTGTTTATAGAAAAAGGAAAAAAAAAAACTTGAGAAAGTAAGAATTTAGGAGTTGACTTGGTACAGGGAAACGAAATGAAATTTTTGCTCTTAAATCAGAGTTGAGTGGTACTTTAGCATCGTAGACTTCACAAGTGTTAAAGACATACAAGTCATGCTAAAGAACAAGACTTGTGCCATCTCCTGTCATCTCCCCATTCACATTCTCATACTGGTTTTTACCATTAGGTCTGCATTGTACAGAAGAATGACACCAAGAAAATGTATGCAATGAAGTACATGAACAAACAAAAGTGTGTGGAGCGCAACGAAGTGAGGAACGTTTTCAAGGAACTCCAGATCATGCAGGGTCTGGAGCATCCTTTCCTGGTTAATTTGTGGTAAGTGGTTTTACTGGACATTTGAATGGAGACACTCCCACCTTCCCCTTCACTCACAAATACTATTATTACTAGATTCCTAGGTGGTTCCTTTGCAAAATCTTCATTCAATATTCCTTGGGGGCTTTTGTTCTTCTCAGTTACTTTGGCTTTATAATGAAGCAATATTTGTTTTATTGTCACCTATGAGTATTACTTGGTTCAATTGTTACCCTTTTGCCCTGAGGCCATTATTTTTGTTAAAGCATTGTAATTAAATGGACTCATAAGAATTGAGTTTGGATCATTTGCTTATCATTCATTAGATAATTTTCCCCTTAACTGTGGGGGCAGAGTTTTTGAGCACAATATATGACCTTTCTGGCTGACATGAGGTTGATCTCTAGAATTTACATGTAGTACTTTCCTGTTCCTTTTAAAATAATTGACAACAAAAGCAGTTTCTTTGCAGCACATTTCTTAGCAGTCACATATATTTCTGGGAGTTGAAAAAGGGGTTCAAAACAAAACAAAACCTTGTGCTGTCAAGTTGATTCCAACTAATAGTAACTGTATAGGGCAGAATAGAACTGTCTCATCCAGCTTCCAAGGTTGTAATTCTTATGGCCACCACTAGCCTGTTAGTTGGTTGTACTGTAGCAATGTGCAAGTTGCTACAATATTGGAAGCTCTACTACCAGTATCTAAAATACCAGTAGGATCACCACAGTGGACAAGTTTCAGTGGGGCTTCCAGACTGAGACAGACTAGGAAGAAAGGCCTGATGATCTCCTTTGGAAAATTAGCCAGTGAAAACCTTATGGATTACAATAGAACGTTGTCAGACTTGTTTACTTTGGATGTGTCCTCAGAAAGTATCAATTGTATTTGGTGAAGTAGAGGGCCAGTGAGGGGAGGGAGACCTTCGGTGAGATAGACTGGCACAAATGACACTGCAGTAGATTTGAACATGCTGGCATTTGTGAAGTTGACACAGGCCCAGGGCAGTGTTTTGTTCTTTTGTACATAAGATTGCCATGAGTCAGAGCTCCACAAGAGCTATCTTCCTCTCTAAATTTTATGGAAGCACACTGACGTGTCTTTCTCCCCCTGAGCAGCTGGTGGTTTCCACCTGATAACTTATTGGTTAACAGCCAAGTGCTTAACTGTACTACCAAGGCTCCTTATAAAAAGGTTGGATACTACCTTTCTCACCTTGTAGATGTGAGCAGAACTAGAGTTAACTTATGTTAACAGCTAGACAATAAGTAACTGTGATCCTCTCTGAAAGCCATTACCATAATGCAAGGCTTAGAAAATGGCCAAGAAACTTGCAGTATCTTTTACCTCCTGTTCTTTTGTGTATGTATGTGTATTTAATGTATCTACTCCATTTTGCTCTACATTTTAATGCATCCATTATGTAGAGAGCTAGTTCTTAAAACAAATTCAGTATGACTGTTATTTAAATATGCATACCTAGTGGTTCGTACTAGCAAAGACAAAAAAAAAAAAAAAACACTTTTATTCAGAGAATGTTAATAGAAAAATAATAGAGATTTCACTGTGTGTTTAGGGACATCCCTCTGGAGGAATCACTGTATAAAACTTGTCTCCATCTGTCTTTAATTAACACAGTTCACTTAATATGTAATTTGCTCAAAGCCTCTATGCCACAGTTGAAAAGAAGATGGTTCTGTGCAACTTGGAAAATATGTCTATTATAGTTTATGCACTATTCCGACATGGAAGAGTCTAAATTTGGCTCAGGCTCAGTGGATTTAATCAGTAGTTGAGAGAGGCCTATTCAAAATGCTGTCACGTAAAGAGTTAAAATGGATGTATCTCACTCTTCTCCATCCTTAGCAATCATCAAATTGCCTTTTCTTCTCTCTCCCCACTTTTGGAGTGACAAGGTGCTGTCACTTCACAGCCTTCCTTTGTTCAAAGTCACATTATCCTTCTTTAAAAGCTCAACCAACTAATTCTCTCCTTTTAAAACCAGGAACCCTTCAAAAGGACAGGCTTTGCATTTTTGCCCTTTCATGCTTGTCTCCCATTGCTAAGTGGATGAAGTTGATTTTATTCTGTTCCTATTTGGGGAAGGAAAAAATCAGAGGTGTGACGAGGCTTGAAGCAGGCCAAAATTCAGAGTCTTTGCTGTTTGCTAAATTGGGAAGGTTGGGCAATCCTACTTCCGTAGTGATACTGCCTTGGAAACCCAAGGAGGGGTCGCTATGAGTCGGGGCCAACTCGATGGCAAATAACAATAACAACAAGACAACATTCTGTTGCCCATGCACACTGACCTGGGGCTAACAAGATAAATAGCCTATTCTTCATTTCTCACACCTGAATATTGAAGACATTAACATTGATGGAAGAGAGGGAAGAGACACCTCCAAATGATTTCAGCATCATATTCTGTACTAGAAACTGAGAAGGAGCATTGCCAGAATAATAAATGCTTTCTGCTTTAGCTACTATAGCATATTGAATTTGAGTGAACATTTCCTTAACTATTAAGCATCTTGCAATGATTCTGGCAGTGCTTGTAATTTTCACTGTATCACTGAGACACAAGATAGGGTTCATGTGTCTAACTTAGTGTTACTTTTGTAAGTGGAATGAGATACCATGCTATGCCCAGTGCCCTGCACATCAAACTCCAAACTCACTGACATTGAGTCAATTTTGACTCATAGTGACCCCCATAGGTTTTCCAAGGCTATAAATCTTTAAGGAAACAGACTGCCTTGTTTTTCTCCTGTGAAGCAACTGGTGGTTTGAACCACTGACCTTTTGGTTAACAGCCCAATGCTTTAACCAAAGCACCACCAGAGCTCTTTATCCTGCACATAATGTCTTAGAAAAGTTTTAGTTCTTTCCCTTTCTTGTTTCATTAAGATGCAGCATTCTGAACATGCTTATCACTGATGAGCCTATGCTAATATTCAAAAGACACATTTGAAGGGTGCTTGACCCCAAGGCATCATGAGGAAGGTATGTATGTCTGTGACACAGAAAGACAGAGACAGAGAAAGTGATGAGGGGCAGAGAGGTATCTTCATCTAATTCTCTGTAAGAGCATGTGTTATTTGTTTTGCTTTTGTTTTTCCATCCTCATTCTGCAAATTAAAAAAAAAAAAAAAGATTCTAAATATATTCAACAAACTCAACACAACGCACTGCATTCAAGTTGGATCTGATTCATGGCAACCCCTTCCTTGAGTCTCCAAGGTAGTATCACTGTGGAAGTAGATTGCCCAACCTTCCTTTCAAGAGTGGCTAGTGGGTTTGAACCATCAGCCTTCTGGTTAGCAATCAAAATTTACGTTCATGATTTTTTTGTCCTGGGTTTAACTATTAGGTTATTACTTTCATGATTTTTTTTTTTGTCCTGAGTTTAACTATTAGATATTTTTATTTATCTTGACATCCCTGAAGCCTCAGGACCTGGTTTTCTCAACAAGTACTGTGTAATTAATAACAGCCATAAAATTAAAAAAAAAAAAAAAAAATGGTTGCAGTAGTATATAGAAAGAGAACTGCGAGAAATTCAAGTCAGATTCAGAAGAGGACACATGGAATAAGGGGTATCATTGCTGATGTCAGATGATCTTGGCTGAGAGCAAAGAGTACCAAAAAGATGCTTTCTTGTGTTTTATTGTCTATACAAAGGCATTTGACTGTGTGGATCATAACAAATTATAGATAATATTGTGAAGAATGAGAATTGCAATTTGAGCTCATGAGGACCCTGCACACAGACCGAGAGGCTGTTGTTGAAACAGAACAAGGAGGTACTGCATGGTTTTAAAACAGAAAGAGTGGGCATCAGGTTTGGATCCTTTCACAACACTTATTCAATCTGTATGCTGAGCAAATAATCCAAAAAGGTGGACTATATGAAGAAGAACATGACAACAAGATTAGAGGAAGGCTCATTAACAACCTGAGATACACAAACGACACAACTTTGCTTGCTGAAAGTGAGGATGACTTGGAGCACTTACTGATGATGATAAAAGACTACAGTCTGCATGTGGATTACACCTCAATATAAAGAAAACAAAAATCCTCACAACTGGACCAATAAGCAGCATCACAATAAATGAAGAAAAGATTGATGTTGTCAGGGATTTCATTTTACTTGGATCTACAATCAACACCCATGGAAGTAGCAGCCATGAGATCAGATGTCATATTGCATTGGGCAAATCTGCTGAAAAAGACTTCTTTAAAGTGTTAAGAAGCAAACAGACAAACAAACAAACAAACAAACAAAAAAAACCCTGAAAACTGTTTTAGTTCTCAAGTACTGCTATGACAGAAATACCACAAATGGATGGCTTTAATCAACAGGAATGTATTCTTTTACAGTTTAGGAGTTTAAAAATCTGAATTCAGAGTGCTGGTTTTAGGGCTGGGTGAAGTCCTCTGGACCTTGGACTTCAGCTCTGCCTCTTGTTCCAGGCCTACTAGAGCTGGAGGCAACTGCTAACTCATGCAGCTTCTGGCCACCAAGGCTGATGAACCCAAGGTCAGCAGATAAGAGTGCAATCCTAAAATCAGTAGACAACACAGCAGGCCATCGGTTCAAGTCCAGAACTGGCGATGAAGATTCAGCCAAATACAGGATCCAAGCCTGCCAAAAAGCTAGAGACTCTTCTCAAAGCTTCTCCACATGTACTGGAAGCAGGCCACACCCCAAAGGCAACTAATTAGCTGCTCACAGCAACTTCCACTTGGACTTGATTTCATCACATCCAAGCTCATCATGGGGAATAACTATATCCAGCTGCCAAAACCCAAACCCAAACTAACCGCCACTGAGTCAATTCAGACTCATAGTGAACCCCACTGGGTTTCCGAGGCAGTACATCTTTACAGTAGTAGATTTGCCCCATCTTCCTTCAGTGGAGCAGCTGGTAGGTTTGAACCGCCACCCTTCTGGGTAGCAGTCAAATGCCTTGGGCACTGCCCCACTAGATACCCACGCAGCTCAAAATCACAACCTG